CTAACTCTAACTTCTTATGCGGTCGCCATCGCTCCGGTCCTAACCAAATGGCAGGATAGCTCCTCGTCCGTTTAGGGGGTTTCTCCTATCAGCAGGAGGCTTTGCCTTATCACCCCAGCGTCTACAGAGTATCCCCTTTAATCTGTTGGTCCCTTCAGGATCAACAGTGCTCAAAAATGAGCCCAAACAAAGAAGTTAGAGTTAGAGGTTAGGAGAGTTTCCTTCCCTCCACTCTAAGCACGGTGACGTCACCACAGGAGGCCCTTCCTTCCATTTCTAACTTCCTTCCTTCCCTCCCTCCTCCTATCTCTCCTTCCTTCATCCTTCTTTCGTTCCTTCCTCCTACCCCTTCTCCTTCCTTCCTTCCCTTCCTCCCTCCCTCGATGATGTTCTGTACTTTAGTCATGAAACGTCTGCAAGAAAACCACCCAGCTCAGAGAGCCCCAAGGACCCCATTTGAAATGTCTGCCTTGCCTTCAGCTGCAGACTTACCTTTTGGTTCAGGTGAGCAATGGAGTTAATTCTCACCAGCCGGCGCTTCTTGTACCTACAGATGGGACGGATCCGGGCAGCGACACAGCTGTTGTCCAGGGCCAAAGCCACGGCGGGCAGGCTGTGGTTCGCTGCCGTGGGTTTCTTGAGGTGCTGCTCAGCGGCTGGGCCTTCTGCAGAACTACCGCTGGTGGCGCAGGCACTCAAGCTGGGAGGGTAAAAGAGAAGAAATGGTCCCACACTGGAGAAATATTCCGGACACAACTTAACAGGGATGTTGTTGTGTAGGAAGGAAGTATAACCTTCCTGTCCAGAATCCTTGCAAAAGAAATCAGCAGAAAATGAGTAGCACAATTACAAGCGGTCGAGTTATGACGGTTCAAAGGTCCCGATGGTCCCCACCAAAGGGACTTAGCACCCTGATTCAAAGATGTGACGTGCCCCTAAAAAGTCGTGTGCTCTGTCTTCAGCTCTTGTTTAGATTTTATTGGAAAGTAGTTCTTGGTCTTGGTTTCTTACAACCAGTGACAAATGTTCCAGGGAGTATCACTGTTATGGAGAGAGAGACAGAAGACAGAGAGAGCGACAGAGAGAGGCAGGGAGATAGACAAGAAGAAAAGGAGGAAGAGGGAAAGAGCAAGAAAAGGAAGGAAAAAAAGAAGGAAAAAAGGAAGGAAGGAGAAAGAAAGATGGTGGGAGGGAGGGAGGAGAGAGGCAGGGAGGAAGGAAGGAAGAAAAGAAGGAAGAGGGAGAGAGGAAGTAAAAGAGAAGAGGAAGGAAGAAAGAAAAGGGAGGGAAGTAAGAAAGAAAGAATGAAAAAGGAAGGAAGGAAGGAAGGAAGGAACTCATTTTTAATGTGGACCAGTGTTCTCTCAGTAAAAAATGACAATAAATCCTGTCCTGTCCTGTCCTGTCCTGTCCTGTCCTTATCTTTTGATTCCAGAAAGCAGGCAATGCTAACAAGCAAAAGCCCATTCAAAAAGAGACCAGAGGCTGTTCAAAGCACCATGGCAAAACAATTTCCAAGGAGGAAAACCCCAGAAAATAGGGCAAACTCTTTGAACGTGATGAGGAATAAGTTGACAACCTGGCAAATAAATAACCCTTATGTTTTATTTCGGCCATGGGCTGACTCAGGGAGACCCAGGGAGAAAAAACAAATATTTTCAATAAGGGGGAAGAGATTAAGATCAGCAACCTCCAGACCCATCAGCTTAATGCTGACAGATGCTTGGAAGATTCCAAAGAAAAGGATCAAAATATAAATGACCTTGAAAAAGGGATGGCAACCACAATGATTTCTTCATTATAAATTGTACTGACTTAAATCTTGTAGGATAAATACAACGATCTCTTTGTTATAAATTTTATCAACTTAAATACTGAAGGACAGCGATGGCTAACCCTTTTCTAAAGGCGTGCCAAACTTGTGCGACCCCCCCAACTGCGTGAACGACCCCCCCACTGTGCATGCACGAGTAACCCCACTTGCACATGTGTGAGCGACCCCCACCTGCGCATGTGTGAGCGACCCCACCTGCGCATGTGCAACCCACCCCACCTACGCATGTGTGAACGGCCCCAACTGCACATGCACAAACGACTTCCGCGCAGGCGGCAGTGGTTTTTGCCCTCCCCAGGCTCCCCTCCAGGGAGGGCGCAAAACAGGTCCAATGCGCCAACCAGAAGTTTGACTTCCAGTTGTCCAGTTGGGCCTGTTTTTCACCCTCTCTAGGCTCCAGAGGCTTTCCTGAAGCCTGGGGAGGGCAAAAAATGGCCCAACGGCCCAACCGGAAGTTCGTCTTGCTGCCGTGCTGGCAAATATGGAGCCATAGGTTCGCCATCACAGCTATAGGATAAATACTACAATGATCTATTCACTATAAATTTTATCGACTTTATCTTATGGGGTAACTATCACAACACTCTGTTCATTATAAATGTATAAACTTAAATCTTATAGAATAACTACTGTGTTTCCCCGAAAATACGACCTGTCCTGAAACTAAGGCCTTGCCACATTTTTCGCGTGGGCAAAAATATAAGCCCCCCTGAAAATAAGCCCCCTGGACAACCCCCCCCCCCCCCCCCCCCCCCAGACCCAGCCCCCACCAGGGGGGGGGGGGGGGGGGGGGGGGGGGG